CAATGTAAATGATTCACCAATATCTTCTGTTTGTGGATAGTGTTTTTTAAAATTGGTTCTTAAGAAAGTTCAACTATTTCAGATGCCTGAACTTGAGAATTGTTCACCTGTGTCCTTATATTGAAGAATCCTATCGTCTTCTTAAAGTTAAAGCACATGCCGGTTACTCCTAATTAGTGTATAGGTAAAAGCCCGGCCAATGTCCACAGGCATGAGACTGCAGGGCTTTGTTCAGACAAATTTACAAAACTAAAAATATGCACTGAAACTTGTTCTTTCTTTTGTGGTGCATTTTCTTGACATTTATTTCTAAGAATCTCATACATTCAAATTATTATAAATCAAAAAGATATTATACATTATCATTAATTTAAATCCTACACGTTTGTTAGGTTGAAGAAAAACAATTTCTGATTATTTTGCACCAGCATGTCAATGGTCACGTGTGAACAAATGTGCTCTGTTCTTAATTAAGCCCAAATCCTGGATAAGAAAACATTGGTGAATGTCAGAAACTTCGTGAAAACTACGTATTTGGGTTTTAAGAAGAAAATTCTTTGGTTGGTCTCATCTGATCTGCACATGCTCGCATAGACTCTTCTTCTAACTCACAGTTTTCACACTGGGGACAGATCTGCTCAGGCTCTGTGACTCATCATCAGTTTATTCTTCATCAGTGACCAGAGGCTCCCCTCCTCACTCTTCACAAGCTCTGCTAAAAAATAAATTCATCTTTTATTTCATCACTCACTGTATTGAATTATTATGTGGACAGCAATAAGAGAGGAGGAGTTGGGCAAAGAAGTTGTTGAGATTGAAGAAATAAAACATTTAGTATTTATGCAGATTTTGGGTTTAATTTCGTTCCCACAAACATCTGGTAACGACTGCGGCTGCTTCTGCTGAAAACTTGTGTTGCTCTGTTACTCTGTGATGAATCGTTGTTGTATTGTAAGATCCAATTCTCAAAGAAATACAGAATTTGCATAGACTCAGTGTCCATCCAAACAGATGTGATTCTCAGAATCCACTCATGCCAAATGTTTATCTTTTAGGATGTGCAGGTTATGCAAGTTGTAATGGTACATTTTCTGTAGCTTTAAACTAAATGTGAGGATAAGGTAAAAACACTAAACTCAATTCCATATGACTGCTCTACACAACCATTACAAATAACTGTCAATAATAATAATATAACCATGGTGAAGCTTTGCTTAGGTTTAGATACGAAAAACCCACGGTTAAGTTTTGGGAAATATCACAGTTCTTGGATTTAAATAACCACTTAGTTAAGATTATGGGAGCTTTATCATCATGGTTACAAACAACACTCCAGAGACTTTCCTGTTGTGAAAGAATCAATTTCCTGGATTTTCACATTGAAAAGCATTTGCTGTGTCAGCCACTCAATCACTAACCCCTGCTTCAGTATATAGTTAATGCTAGAGCACTCTATAGTGAGCTCATGGGCAAAAGAAAACACACTACTTACACATTTTCTCTGCACCGAGAATTACATCATTTTTGTGTCGGCCGTTGGAAAATCCCATGGTACATCTTAATGTTTATTTCACACTTTAGTAGTAATACATAGATATGTGGAACGACCATCACAAATGTAAACATAAAATTCTGTACCACACTTCATGCAGTTTTTTCATATTTTAGCATCACAGCCTAAATTTAAAAAATATTCAAGACATGTTATAAAACTGGATGTTTTAAAAATTGGTTTGTGATAACGCTGGCAAATGTAAACCTGTCTGTTTTTATCCTCAGTATCATTTGAATATTGTTGGTAATAGTAAGGAGTAGAATCATCAGAGAGAGAAGACTGAGACTTGTTACCCTCGCGCCCCTCGGCCACCTTTTCTTTTCAACGCCACAAGCGCATTGCATGGTGAAATATGTTGTTGCCTAGTGACCATCTGTTGTACATTACTTTTCAAGATGCATTGTGGGAAACAATGAGTCCACTATACAGTGGACTAAATAATGAGTGGTGAGTATTTTCGGACACAGCCAATCTATGGAGAATGACTCAGCTGTGAGGACATTCTCTGGAGCTCAGTTTGAAGATGGCAACATGACAAAGGTAATTGTGGCTCATTTTCTGAAACATGTTTTTTTTAAATATTTTTTTTTGTTTTTAGTTGTTAAGAAAGTCTGACTCAAACCCTGATTCTGTGTCGGGACCTGTACGAGTCAAGTTTGGTAGTAAAACTTACTGAGATGTAGGGGCCAATGTGAAGCTGTAGCTGCCATTTGCACAGACCGCCTCCACATGGTTTACACTGTGTTTAATGCTGCAGAAATGATATCTATGGTGTTACTGCTGTATTCCTGCAGCTTTTTACCTCCATTCCAGTGCAGTCAAACTGGATCGCCTCCTCTATTTTCAGTGCATAACCAAATTTATAGCATTTTCAACAGAGAGCGATAATGATCACATTGAAAATATACTGTATACATGCTGCAGTATCACTGAGCCTCTCACTGGCTGTACACATACTGGACTAAACTTTCATTCATTAAGAACCAGTTGCCACCATGTACCATGTACCATGTGGAACTATACAGAAAGTATAGGAATCACTAACACACTATTGGAATCAGAGACATGTAATAAACAGCTAAAAACCCAGAGTATATCCCATAGTAAATTATTATCTTATTGCTTTGTCTTTTAAGCACCATTAAAATCATCCCCATGTCAGTCTCATCGAAGCTTGAAAGGAAGTTAACATGGTGAGAAATTTACATCTGAAATCCTGTCATGAAGTTTGCACTGGAGATTTGTAATGGTGTTAATAAGAGTAGATACACAGAACAGAGTGTGAAATAGTGAAATATTAAAAAAATAAAATAAAAAAACTGAAATGCCATCAGGAGCCAGAGAAAAACTTCTCATCCAGCAAAAACAGCTCCGTAACTTAGACAAAGTAATTTTCCTTTTGGCTTGTGACAGAGGGAAAGAGAAAGAGTGAGAGAGCTAAGCAGCGAGCAGAAAGAGAGGAGGAGAGAGGAGAGGGACAGAAGCTCTGCTGCAGAACACACCTCATCTCCTCTGTAGCTGGAGGGAGAGAGGGATAGAGAGAGAGAGAGATAGAGGGAGAGACTGAGTCTGTGCCAATTTTTCTCTTCAGCCCCAGCAAGAGGGAGAGAGCGAGGGAAGTGATATTTCAGGAATCTTAAGAGATCCACAAAAACGTGTGACTGGGAGGGAGAGGAAGAATCACAGCATCCCTGCACATGAGGCATGTGCAAAGAACGACTGACGACTAATGAAGGAGGCAAAAGAGATGTAGTCGACGCTACTCATGCGGTAAGAAAAATGTGATGATATCATTTTCAGAGGAAGCTAAGGACTGTTGCACTCACACAGAAATGCAGTCACTCTTACACACATGCAGGACACACACTCACTCACTCTGAGTGAAAGCAGCAGACGGTGATGGTTGCAGGTGTTTGTTAGAGGTGAAGGAGTGTGGAGGTCTGTGGTTGCAGATGCGGGAAAGTGCATCAGTTTCTGTGTTTTTTTTCTTTTAATTTTTATAGGATCTGCATCCAGAGCCTCTACCTCTGTCATACAGCCGTCTCTTTCCGCCTTGTTGCAGTGTCTCTCTGTGTCATAGCAGCACAGCAAAAACAACCCTTATGTAATGAATCATCTCATGAAAGCATTTATTTCTACTCCACACCTTCCTACAGTCTGTGGTCCTCTCTGGCTGCATCATTTGGTCAGATTGGATAAAACTAAGTCAAATCCAGATGATGAGCAAACATGTTTAACTTCAACTTCTGCAGAAACATCAATGTTTCTTCACAACAACATGTCAGAGTTTCCTTTTTCACATGGGTGAGAGTCTGAAACCTTTCAAGCCACTGATTTAATGATGATTGTGCACAAGACTACATTTTGATTGTTTAAGCCATGCATAATGGCTTCTTTTTTAAACCCAGAATCGCACAACTTGTTTTATTGCAAGAAGAAACATCTTTTCTTTAACACACATGTCAAACTTACACCAGAGTAAATTCAAAAGTTATAGCAAAGGTTTGTGATTTTGCATGTTTAGGTTTATAATGAATGACTTGAAGCATCCTCATTCCATCTCACTGCATCATTGGATGTGTTTCCTCTCATTTAATATCTATCATGTATCTATCATGTGTCTCCCTAATCGTTAAAGTCGCAGACAGACTTGAGTGTAAACATCAACTCGAAGGTTCAGTTTCTTTTATAAGTCAAATTCATGTTACAAACTGGCCAAACAAATGCAACCAGACTAATGGAATACTTAATGTATTTTTTTTTCTCCTTAATAGGTCACAGTCTGGGGTCTGTGCAGTGGTTCAGAAATCACATATGCATATATTTTGGGTGTGTTGGTGAGTGTGTAGAGGGAAATAGATTCATGTGTATGAGATAATAAGAAATATCTGGCCAATAGAAACATTGATAGATCAGTTATGGATCCAGAAACTTGAACAACACATCTCAGGTTCAGAATAGAGATAAGGAAAAGATAAAAGATATGGAAGTCCAACAACACAGAGAATAATATTTGGTTTATGCTCTGCAGAAGTGATGGATTGAGAGGTTTGGGACATTCCTTTAAATTCTTCATTAATGCATATTTGCTTGAGCATAGTATTTAAAAAGACATTCTGTTTGAGCTATGGTATGTGCTGAGAAAGTATCTATACCAAAAGTAGTAATTGTTGTGGAATACTGTGAATACTGTTGTCTTTTGTAAAGAATTTATGTACTCTTTGGTAAATAAATAAGAAAACCTAACTTTCACAGAGCAAAGACACAAAATGCTTTATAAAAATAAAACAAATCTGTTAAAAACACAGTGAATGTAGTAACAAAAAATGTAATATATGCAATAGATTGACAATAACAATGTTTTAAACACTGGACAGCACAAGAAGAGAACCGGCCAGTTTGAATAAAAGACTCCTCGGTTGTCTTATAAATAAACAGATGCCACTGAACATATGTCAACTGTAAGAGCAGAAATCCACAGTGTTAATTTCATTACTTTGGTTTTTACATTTTTAGTTGTAATTTAGATAATTTGCAAAACACTGAGGACGAAATTTGAAATTAAGGCAAGGTTAAATTTAGTATTAAAGGCCTGGTGTTTAGGACTTCAGGGTCCTTTTAGAAATGAGGAAAAGAATGAGCCCTATTGACAGCAGGTCCTCTTCCATAGAGGGCGCCATGTTGCACTGCAAAGTCTCTACAGCAGCCCAGAGTGGACAAATAGAACCTTGGCTCTGCAGAGGCCCTGTGAGGTTTTAATAAGGCAAGTGTAGGTGCCACTAAATCCTCCAAATTGAATCTTTGACAAAACTAAATGTAATTGGTTGATTTGGATTAGTTCTATAAATAACACATATTTTAATTATTGATTCGTCATTATTCGACAGAATAATTTGATGTCTTGTTATTGGACAGAAAACTGTTAAAATCTTTATTTTACAAGAAATCTCCCAGCGTCAAGACGACACAACATGGAAACATTTTTCTTGGCATTCTATTGAGCCAATGTTTCTGTATCACGCAGACAGTTTTTTTCTTACCTTAGTTAAATTAACGTCACTCAATAATTGACCTGCATTGTTAAAGTAGCTCTTGGCCATTTCAGTTTGTAGATTAAGATCAGTGCAGCTTTGTCTTTGTGTAACTATCCTTCAAAGGTTGGACAGGGTACAGTTGTGGATCACCTACAGTCCAGTCACATTTTAAACTTTCAAAGAAATCTGAGTCCGAGAGTAAGAGGTCGAGTAATAACGTCCACTAAGATCAAAAAATATTCTCCGCTTATCCACTGTGAAAAGACGAGGGAGGAGACGGAGTTCTGAAAGGAGCTGCTGAGTCATATGCAGCTGTTTCAAACCACTTTTCTGAATTGTTCATATTTAAAGGCAACAAAAGTCCTTTGTGCACACACATCAGTGCACAGCTCTGCTTTCCTGAAACTGCTGTCGCTTTTAAAAGAGAGGGACAAAGTCGAGGTGCATCAAAATGAAATGATTGCTCCATTATTGAGGAGGTTGTATTAAAAGATGAGAGTGGAGATGAAAGTGAATGACTGATAGAGGAGTAAGAAGAACCCCAGGAGGTGAGAACTGCAGCTCCTGTGTTACTGCACACTAAATTGGTTCAATATACTGCACACAGACACACACACAACACAGTGTTCACTTTTTTTTTTGCATATACAATTTAACAGTGGTGTATAATATGACATACAAAACTGAGGAAAACGAGCATCTCTCCACAATTTCTCCTCATCACGTGATAGACGTCAACATCCTGCAGAGCCGTTCAGTGTCACTCATGAGAGCTGCAGATGCTTAATATACAACTTTCTTTCTACTGAGACAAAACTTCATCACAGACACGGGACAGATGTTTCAGTATTATAAATAAAGACGGATGAAGGAGGAAAATGTAGTAACTGATGCAGCCTATTAGCTGCAGTCATGGTGAACGTAACATCTCCTCATTCAAGTCCCTGTTGTTCATCAGTGTTCTTGTCAACTGATGCACAGATTGGACCAAAACAAACTCCAAACTAAATCTCAAAACACCAAGATGGAGAGAGGATGGGAGATCTGTTTCCATGGCAACTATGCATTAAGCCTTGCGTGGCCTCTCCTCGTGTGTGAGTTTCCCACGCAATTGATTTTAGATACCAGAACAAATGGCACTCAATACTTTGTGCTAATTATGCAATGTTGTTGACATTTCTTATTTAAAATGTTGAAATGTTATAAATAATTAATACTAGCCACAGTTGGTCATGCAAGGTTTTTTTTAGTCAGGTTGAAAAGCATCAAACAAAACGTGTGTGAGTGTGTGTGCATTGTTAATAATGACACTTAAAAAACACTATATGTAAGTGCAGTTTGCATCATGTAAAAAACATGCATAGTGGTAATCAGATGGAAATATTACAGAAAACTGTATCTCTCAATCATTAACTCTCAAATCCTCAGTACTTTATTTTTTTCTTTATTCTTTTTCTCATCAGTGTCCTCCTTTCTTTCTCATTCCTCTTTGTCTTCATGTACCACTTCTGTAAAACCTCTCTCCATGTTTTTTCATCCTCTCTCTCCTCCGTCTTCGGCTAAAGAGCTTTCCTGCTTGTTGTATTTCTGCCTGTAAATCTTCATGTGACCTTGTTAAAGCATGAATTATAAAACCCAAATGTAAATTGCTTGGTTCTGAGAAGCTTCTAATGCTTTTATTAGAATGGCACTTTATAGAGCATATACCTCTGCCAAGGCCCAACAGTCCCCTTTAATTCAATGAATCTGCACCAGATTGCCCCATTAAATATCAGTTATATAAATATGCCAAATTTTTCATTAAGATCCAGTTAATTTTCTCTAGGAAATCACTGAAAATGTCGAAGAATGCTCTATCTCACAATCTAGGGTAAAAAAAAAATCAGATCCGCACCAAAATTGAATGGGTTCCCCCCTGACCCATATTGCATCTTTCCATCAGGTAATTTGTCAAGTAGTTTTTGCTTGATCTTGTGAACTGACAAACAAAACAACTAAAACTCCTTGGTGGAGGTAAATATATTTCAATGACACATTCAGTTTTAATATTGAATTAATCAGCAGGTTTTAGTTTTTGCTCTGAATCGTTCTCGCCTTTTTTCTCTGACAGAACAGTGAGCTGTCACGCTGCGAGCTGTGAGTCCTGCACCTGGAGCCAGGATGTGAGATCGATGGTGTGATAACAAAGGCCGTTATTGAGCTACAGCCGTCGTGCATTCCCCTAATCACTGCAACACATAAAAACATTCTTGGTGTAGTAGAGGGAAGACACATTATTTCTGAGTGCTGTTAACAATCCCTCTTTAATAGACTTCCACTTAATGATTGATTACACTTCATCGCATCTTTTGCAGTTTGCTCACACAACTTTAATCACACAGCTTCCCAAACAATCCTGGTCCAAATGATTCATCTCAGTTCCTCATAACAAACTCATCCTCACCCTGTCTGCATCAGCTTCTGTAAAACAGTGAGGATTATGAGGCCCACTTTAGCGCTTCTACAGTCACAGTGTCTCCTCTGTGTGTTAGTCGGCGTGTGTGTGCCCGCTGTTGTGGGCTCACTACCTCACACGCTGCCATGGCACGTCTCGTGCCCGGTGCGGTGTGTGTGCCAGATAAAGCCATGGTTCTCCCCTGACTCGGTTTACCATGAAGCTCCTACTGTGGACTGCAACGACCTACTGTTGACCACGCTCCCTTTGCCTATACCCCCGAACACGCACACCCTGCGCCTGCAGAGCAACCTGCTGTCTGAGCTTGACACCGAGGCGCTGCATGGGCTCCCCAACCTCACCGACCTTGACCTTTCCCAGAATCGCTTCAGCCGTGTCAGGACAATAACTCAGGGCTCCTCTCTGCCCTCTCTGCTCTCTCTTCACCTAGAGGAAAACCACCTCAGTCACCTCCCTGAGTCGTCTTTCTCCTCACTGCCAGCTCTGCAGGAACTCTTTCTCAGCCACAATAACTTATACTCAATCGCCCCTGGAGCCTTCATTGGTCTTGACTCTCTACTGCGTCTTCATATCAACAACAACAGGATCACCACCATCGACCCTTGGTGGTTCAGGGCTTTGCCCCACTTGGAAGTTCTCATGCTAGGGGGAAACCCAGTGGAGGCTCTTCCTGAGAAAGGCTTCCTGGCTCTAAAATCCCTCCGGAGTCTTGTGCTTGGGGGGATGGGTCTGAGAGGCCTGGCTGAGGAAGCGTTGGAAGGGCTGGATGGCTTGGAGAGCCTCTCCTTCTATGATAACTTGTTGACCAAGGTCCCCACACAGGCGCTGAGGAGAGTCCCAGGACTGAAGTTCCTCGACCTCAACAAGAACCGCATCAAACTGATCGAGACAGGAGATTTCCAAGACATGGTCCACCTGAAGGAGCTCGGCCTGAACAACATGGACGATCTTGTTTCTATTGAAAAAGCCGCTCTGGAGAATCTTCCAGAGCTCACCAAGCTGGAGATCACCAACAACCCTCGTCTGTCCTACATTCACCCACAGGCTTTCCTCCAGCTAAGCAGGCTGGAGAGTCTCATGCTTAACTCCAACTCTCTCAGCGCTCTGCACCAGCACATCATGGTCTCTCTGCCTAGTCTGCAGGAGGTCAGCCTCCACTCCAACCCACTGCGATGTGACTGCCTGTTTCACTGGGCGGCCTTGCACCCTCACACAGAGAAAGACACACAAACAGATACAGTAACAGCTCGCATGGTGCGTTTCATCCAACCACAGGCCACCTTGTGCTCTGAACCACCAGAGCTCAGAGCTCGCAGAGTGAGAGAGGTGTCTTCTAGGGAGATGTCGGCCTTTTGCCTCCCCATTATCCCCGCCAGCTCCCTCCCATCCTATGTGGGAGTAAGAGAGGGAGGCAAACTGGTTTTGCACTGCAGAGGTCTTGCAGATCCACAGCCTGAAATATACTGGGTGACTCCCTCTGGGCTGAGACTTAGTCCTGCACCCGGACTCACAACCAAAGGTTTACAATCTCCGGCTCCCTGCCCCAGGCTGACACCTACTAAGGAACTCAACCACACATCCTCCTCTAGTCATGCTAAAAATGATACTGCCTGTAACCCCTCCAAACACTACCAGCTACTTCCTGAGGGAACGCTGGAGATCAACAAGGTCACTCCCAGTGAGGCCGGATTATATACCTGTGTTGCTGAGAATGTGCTAGGGGCAGATACACGCAGTGTTACTGTGGGAGTGCACAGCAGAAAAAAGAACAGAAAAGGGGGCAAGTCTGCTAACCTGAATGGATTTCAATCATTAAGACTGGATGCGAAGTTGGAGGCAACGGAGGTCGGACAATATTATGCTATACTGTCCTGGCAGAGAAGACGCAACCTCCCTTCGACTCGCCTTTCCTGGCAAGCCATATACTCAAACACCCAAACGCCTATATACACCACACGCATCCTGGCTGGCACACAGAGTTTCAATCTGACCCACCTGCAGGCAAAGACATTTTATCGCGTGTGCCTGCATTTAGGGACCATCGACGATGTCAAGCATGCCAACAGGAGGTTGAGAGAGAGCAGTAAGCCTCAGTGTGCCTCCTTCAAGACGAAGGACATCCCAGAGCCCAAGCCCAGCCTGCAGCTCAGCCTGGAGCTGATCTCCACAGCCGTGACACTTCTGCTGCTCACACTCATACTGCTGCTGCTGGCAGGTCAGAGCTGGGACACTCTGCCCAAGGCGGGGGCTAAAGAGATCCACGATACCCTTCTACTGGAAATCAAAAGTCCCAAGGCTCCGATCATCAATCACAACGGACATCAGCTAAAGCAGAGTGAGAAACTGCTTTTACATGAGGACTGCTGAGATCATGTAGATTTCAACATGGAGTAAAACACTGACAAAAACACTGACACACACACACACACAGACACACAAACTGTCAATGTAAATAACAGCTAGAAGGAAGGAGTCAGCAATCAGAGAAAGGCAGACAGAGATTTGTATTTATTTTATATAAAGTATATATTGACATTGTTTCTGTGTTATTGTAAAGAAGGCTGAAACCCTCGCCGGAAATAATACTGGACAATCACACTCCTGCAGTGAACACAGGAACAAATGAGTCTGAGCAGCTGATGATCACTGGATTGAAACGGAAGAAAACCAACTCAAGATACCAGACAGATATTTTACAGAGAAGAACTGCTCAGACCTCCAGGGTGTTTTTAATGTTTCCTCTGTACATGTTCCACAGACTGAACCAAGCAGACAATACTCTGAGTGAAGTCCCTGCTTGTTCTGGCCTTTGTAAATCAAAGTGATTGATGTCAACAACCCTTTTGCTTTGCTCTTAGTCCATTGAACTGGCTTGTTCATATATGCATACAGTATACTTATCCAGATTAGCCGCCTAACATCCCAACATCCTTTTTCAGCATAAAGGTGATCCAGAAGTGACTGTGTTAAATTCTATTTTCAGCTATTAAACAATAAATGAACAATAAAATCTTTTTAATTTATACAATCATACCGTTTCACATCTGTTTTCTTATCACAAACTGAGTTGAGATTAAACTAAAAAACGGCAATGGCACTCAGTAGCACGCTTAAGTCCAAATGTTGAAAAAAATCTGGCAATATTAAAGTATAGTTGGAAAATAATTCCTATATCTGCCCCCTGATCAGGATCTGCAGTACAATCCTATGGGCTCCTATGGGTTTTGTGGAAATCTATTTAGTTGTTTTTGTGTAACCTTCTTTTTACAATGGACATCACAAAACATAACCTCCTTGGCTGAGATAAGGATCATTATCCAGCTGTGGATCACATCAGTGAACTGTACTAAACATAGAGCGAGAGATGACAGACTTTAAATCAAACTCCCATCATATAAATCTCATATTACTGATCATCTGCAGCAACAGCTCCTTCTTATCTGTATGCAGCTGCTGTTTCTCCACAGTAGAAATGAGTCGAATAAAAGCTCAGGATGTCTGACTCCTGATCATTAAACACAAGTGTGTCCCCCTGCTGGATGACCTGGAACTGAGCAGACGCTAGTCAAGACAAAGCAGAGGTTTACATTTTTTTAAGGTGGTCTTAATATTATACTCACATTTATAACAATATTATAACACATCTCTCTCTAGTGATCAAAAAATAGCAGAAAAATGTATCTGCCATTCTTGTAAAGAGATGACTCTCAAGGATCAGTCACATGTTATATTTCCTTTTTGTGCATTTAAAGTTGTAAAGAGTTGTTACACAGAGAGATGCCACTAAATTATCTGACTACTGATGATGCCTCAAAACTTCAGCTGAGCTTGAAAACTGATTTAGAATGAAGAACAAATTAGAAAAATGTTGTCTCTAAAATATCCAAGCACTTTAAACACATCAAATTACAGGCGACTTAATAAAACAATTACCTACAGCCGACAAGGGTCATCGCTGATTGGATGGATGAGTTGTCCGTCTATTAAGCAGGAAGGAAAGGCTGACTAAACGTGTTTTGTTGTGATGTTTATTATTTGTCGTGTTTTGTGATTTGACATTGTATTTTGCACTTCAGGGCCACTGTAGTTAACTCTATGCTTCTGAAATACTTATCTTGTACTTGTGATGAAATACTTCTAAATCTGTTTTTACCTAATCAAAAGATCTAAACACTTCTTACACCAATGGTTCAGGTTCACTTATTTGCCTTGAGAAACACAAATGCTGAATTATCATCTAAATTTACTCTTCGCTTCTGTTCTTTTTTTGAATAAACCTTCAATTACAGATGGAGCCCTTAATTCAAAAGGTGCATATATAGATATGCTAATAAAAATGAACTTTGACCACTAGTTAGACTTTGTATTTATTCACACAAAACATAATACATCTCTTTCAATAAGGCAACACAATACTGTATATACATACAATTATCTATATGTATACCATATTTGATGTTGTTATTTCCCAACTAACAACATGTCATTCTGAACTGTCACTAGCAAGTGTAAATAAATATTTTAGCAAGTCATGTAAAAGAGTACAAGATGCGAAAACTTCAAGTCATACTATCACGTCCGATGCAACAACTCTTTCCACACTGGAAACTTTGCTGAATTTTCTTGATATATTTTAGCTGCGTTTTTTATTTTCAGAGAGCAGACAAAAGGTTCACTGACGCGCTGGAATAAAAAGCAATCTAATTAAGCAGTCGAAAAATCTAAAAGGAAACAAATTGAAATCAACAAATCAAACATATTCCTTTTTCACAAACAGTAACTTCCATGTTTAATCTTTACATTAACACTGACATCATCATTAGGTGCTGGAGTGGGCGTCGTCCCTAAATGACATGAGGTGATTGTGGTTTGAAAATGTGATCGATACTTAAACTAATTAATACAAAACTTTACTTCCAGTGTGAAATGTTCTTCCACAGTAACGTGCATGCTGAATGGTCCGTACATGCTGATGCAAAGTGTCACGTAAGCTCAATACCCATCCTCTTCACAGCTGATTAGATTGTACAATCACTTACAAAAATATACTTCTATTCTGCATTAACAAATGACAGCAGTGTTTAGTACCACAGTAAGTTGACAGGACATTAAGTGACGTGAATGAAATACGCAGAAAGTTTAGAACCAATAAAACTGGGAATAAAAAAATGACATCAAGCTTTAAAACTGTAATTGAGACCCTTGTATACTAAGTACACAACTCTGACTGCTCATATGAGCCATACTAAGTGTTCCTGATGCCCACGGCCTCGTCACTCTGCTGTTTTTGACCAGCTTTCATTCATTTGAGGGCAGTAAATCTGGCTCTGACTAAAAGAGGCCAACAGAGCTGCTGCTTAGTCCCTTTAATTCTGCTCTGCCTGCGCACAGTGCGATAAAAAGTCTAAAATTGTGCCTCGAGAATGCTGATTAATTCAAACACCAGAGGCGTCAAACACTCTTGGAATGTAAAAGTAAGTTTGCTTTAAACAAAACCACAGTACAGCAGAAAGATACCACTGAACTCTACATTATCTTTCCCAATATGATAACACTTTAGCAAGCGTATAAGCAATGAATAAATGGTTTACAGCACACTATCTTGTAGTTGTAGCACATATAAATCAA